CCCCGAGACGCGGGCCTCCGGCGGCCGCCCGGGGCGCCCCCCGGGGCGCCCCCCGCGGCACGCCGTCCGGGGAGGGGCGGCCGCCGAAGGCCCCCCCGCGGCCCCGAACCCCTCGAAAACCCTCGTCGCCGTGGGCACAAAAGCCGGGGGCTCACCCCCCATGGCGGGACCGGGGCATCCTGGGCCCCCCTCTGTCCGCCCCAAAGACGGCCCGACAGGCCCTCCAGACGGCCCAAGACGACCTAGGAGGCCCCAAAGACGGCCCACGAGAGCTCTAAGATGGTTTCGTAGAGGCCTCAGACGGCCAAAAACGTTCCAAGGGGGTCTCCAGATGGATTCAAGAGGCCCCGAAGACGCCCCGAGAGGCCCCCAAGACGACCCCCACGAAGCAAAGAAGCCCCCCAAATCGCCCCAAGACCGCCCAGGCAGTCCCCAAGAGAGCCCCAAACCAGCCCAAGAGAGCCGCAAGACGGCCACGGAGAGCCCCATGACAGCCGAAGAACGGCCCCAGAGGGGCCCACAAGGCTCCCAATATTGCCCCGAAAGAGCCACAGGACAGCCCCAAGAGGGCCCAAGAGGACCCCAAGAGAGATCCCCAAAACGGCCCTGGCCACCCGAGGCTGCCCAAGAGCGCTCCAGGACGGCCTGCGAGGACCCCAGACGAGCCCGAAATGGCCCCAAGAGGGCCGCCAAAAAGGCCACAAAAGAGCCGCCAGAGGCCCCAAGATCGTCCGAAGACGGCCCGCGACGCCCCAAGTGGGCGTGTCCTCAGGTCCTCAGGCCACCCCTCTAAGCCTCGGTCCTCACTCTTGGGGAGTTTTTGAAGGGTTCGCAGCTCCTCGGCCCAAATCTCTGGGAGTTCCCCGCGTCTTGTCGCGTGACCGCATCGGACCCATGAGACCCCAAGACGGGCCATGAGAGGGCGCCAAGAAGCCCCCGAGACGGACCAAGAAGGCCGCGAGTCGCCGAAAGAGCGCGCCAAGAACGCCCAAGATGACTCCCGGCCCAGGAGGCCGAGGTCTCCCCAGAGAGCCTCAACACGCCCACATCATTGTTTTCCTCAGGGTGTTCAGGGATGTGGGCGTTCTCATCGCCTCGGCTTCCCAACACTCCCGACAACCCCAAGACGGCCCGAAAGGCCTCCAAAAGAAACCCAAACGGCCCAAGAGAGCGCCACAACGGCTCAAGAGGCGACGAAGGAACCCAAGAGAGCCCCAAGACGGCCCCAAAAGGAGTCCCACAGAGGGAACACAAACCGAAAATCCGAGCCTTCCGCCCCAAGAGGCCCGCAGCAGGCCCCAGAGGCACCGAGGAAGCCCCAATGCCAATTCAGCATTGCCTCCGCACACGGCTGCCTGCGCCGGCCCTCGGCACCGTATCTTCCGATAACACGCGGCTACAACGCCAAGGAATGGATGTCCCCATGCGACCGCCGCGCACGGACATGCAGCGGATTCCGCGCGGGAGTCTTTCTTGGGGTCGGCGGCAGTGGCGGCAGCCTTTAGATAAACTGTTCCGCCGTCGGGAACGCCTGCCCCTGGGCGACTGGAAAGTTCGTACCCCTACGGTGCCACCGTAAGGGTATAAACTTTCCAGCCGCCCTTGGACAGGCGCCCCCGACAGCGAAAATGCTCATTTTATACCGTTCTTCGCCCGAAACACACCATCATCACCATCGTTACCATCAGTATCCCGCCACGGCGCCGGCAGACGGTCTCCGGGCGGAGGCCGCGCCCTTGAGCGCGCGGGGGGGGGCCGGAGGGCGGGCCCACCGAGCGCGCGCGGGCCGAGCGCCGCCGCTTGGGCGAGGATCACCACCACCTGGACGCCGGAAGGGGGCGCCAGCAGCCATACCCAGGCTCAAAGCCCTTGCGCAGAGACAAGGTTTTGGCGGGCGGCCGCAAGTCTTGACCACGGCGAAGAGGCCATTCCGAGGAAAGGAGCGACAAGGGGGTCGCTCGCACTGGCGCAGGAAGCGACACGCGCACGAGCCAGGGCAGGGAGGGCGGAAAGGCCTGACGGAGCGGCGGCGGCTTGAAGACAGCGCTCGGGCTGGAGGCTCTGAACCCGTTGCGGTGCTGGGGGGGGCTGGGCGAGCATCGCCTGAAGATCTGCCTGAGGGATCCCTACTCGCGCCGCCTCGTAGACGAAGAACTGCGGCGCCTCGAGTCGGGCTCCGCGCGGGTCGGCATGAGCCCCCAGGGAGGAGCCACCGCCTGGGCCGACTGCGCAGCCAGCAGACGACGGATCTCCCACTGGACCTCGGCAAGGGCCATCGGCGCCCCCGGCCGCCCAGGGCGGCGGCGACGGCCCCCGCTGCCCGAGGACTGGCCATGGCGCCCCATGACTTCGGTTGGGCCCCCAGGCCGCTGCGCGCAGGCGCGGGTGGCACCACCTGGGGGGCCGAGGAGCCCGCACCTGCAGTGGAGGGGGGCCGTCGGCGTCGGCATCCGCCTCCAGGTCCTCTGCCCCGAACTCGCCCGCTGGCTGCTGCGGGGGAGTCCGCTCTGCGCCCGGGGCCGCCCCTCTCTCCCTCTGCGACTGCAGCGCCATGAAGGGCCAGGTGGCCGTCGCGAGGGGCCTGGTCCCCCGCGGGGTGCCGCCACGAGGCACGACCGCGGGCGGACCCGAGTGGCGCGAGCCCACCGCCGCCCTCTCCGGACATCGGGTGCAGAGCCTCGAGATCCAGCTCCGAGACCCCCAGGTCGACCACCAGCACGGACGCGGTGGAGCTCAGCTTGGTGGTCCCCAAACGTGGTGGTGAGAACACCCGGTGGTGAGTTTTGGGCGAGTTGGGTAATGGTTTTCGAGCGCTGGCTGGCCCAGTAAACGCAAAACCTCGTGGCGACCGCGTGTCCCCAAACCCGGTGGTGACCCAGAATTATTTTTTGTGGGAATCGGGGTCACCACTGGGTGTCTCACCACCTGGTTTGGAGACCACCAATCAGCGGGCGGACCTGATACGGTCCCGCCAGCCCGGGAAAACTCTCCGCTTCCGTAGGGCTGGGCTGCCGGCCGACAGGAACAGTCCAGACAACGCCAGCAGGATGCCCCCAGGCGTAGCCTGCCTCGCCCTCGTGGCCGACCTCGCCCTCGTCCGAGCGCCAGCGGTCGTGCATGGTGGCCGACGGCGCGCTGAACGGGTGGACGTCGGGCCACACACACGGGGCCCCCCGGGATAGCATTAAGTCGGGCCTGTCCCTCTACAGGGGGAATATTCAAAAATAGTCAAAAAATAGTCTGGGGACTATGTTTTGAGTATTTGTTTGACCATTTCGGAATATGTTTTGAGTATTTTTGAACTCTCGTCGAAAATCCCCCTGTAGGGGGACACGCCCGACTCAAGGATGGCAGGACCCCCTTCTCCAGAAGCACCGGCTGCCATCGTCAGCAGCGCGCTTTTTTGGTCTGCGGGTCGAGAGCGGGCCTCTTCCGGTTAAGAGCTAGGCGGGGCGCGCAAAGCACGAATTGGGGAGACAGGGCGCGGGAAACCGTCAGCAGCGCGCACGGGAGGGCCAAAACGGGGCCTCCTGCTGGGACGCACCCCGCGGCGCGGCCGAGGCAGAGGCTCCCCGAGGCCCGCGCGCGCGCCTCGGCTCGCAGCCTGGGCCGCCAGCCGGGGCGCGCCGCGCGCCGAGGCCGTGCCCCCCCCCCCCCCCCCCCCGGAGGGCTCCGATCGCGTCCGGCGCGCGGGAGAAGGCAGGATGCCCCCCACCTTGTGTCGGGCCTGTCCCCCTACAGGGGGACTTTCGACGAAAAAACAAAAAATACCCCAGGAATACCTCCCAAAGGGGCCAAAAGATACCCCAAAACTGGTACCCAGACTATCTTTGGACTATTTTGGGGGACAGGCCCGACTCAGACCAGACCGAAGCCCCTGTAGGGGGACAGGCCCGACTTAGACCCAAGAGTAGTACCCAGACCCCTGTAGGGGGACAGGCCCGACTTAACACCAGCGGGGCGCGAGGGCCCCGATGCAGCGGCCCCGCAGAGGCTGCAGGCGGCTGGGGCATCCACGAAGGGGCCCCAGGGCACACAAGTAAATGCACACAAACAAAAAGATTCTCCCTACTTTCTCACATCTTCTGGGTTTCTGTCTTCCCCCCCACTGCCCATATTTTCCCATATTTTCTGGGGAATCGGCGATGAATTGTGTCTGTGTTTTTTCTCCTCCTGAATCCAGCAAGGCCACAACCGAGGAGAACAGCAAGGGAGTGACCCCGCTGCTCAGGTCTGACGCCAGTCCCGGGCAGACGGTGGGGCACACCGTGCCCCAGCCAGCGGAAAGGCACTGCCCACTTCCGCTCCGCAAGGGTCGGCCTGAGCGGACCACAGCGAACCCTCTTGCGGAGGCGCCGAGGTCCGCGAGCGATGGAAGAGGTTGACCGACAAGCCGCTGGTAGAGCGCGGCTCGCAGGCCCCACAAGGGGAGCTCGCCCGTTCCCTCGATGGCCGCAGGGGCGAGCGCCTGCATGAGGCGCCCGCCGGAGGGGGGCGCGAGGGACGTTGGGCCGAGAAGCTGCAAAGACCGTCAAGCGCGAGAGGAAGGGAGAATCTGAGAGAGCTACATCACCATTGTTGTACTCATACTACTGGTCCTCATCTTGCTCCTCCACTTACCTGCTGCTGCTGCCGTCCCGCCTCCTGCCCCAGCACCTCTCCGAATATTGTTCCTGCGTTTCCACCTCCTCCTCCTCCTCCTCCTCCTCCTCCTCCTCCTCCTCCTCCTCCTCCTCCTCCTCCTCCTATTCCTATTCCTCATCCTTCTCCCTTTCCTCCTGCTCCTCCTCCTCCTCCTCCTCCTCCTCCTCCTCCTCCTCCTCCTCCTCCTCCTCCTCCTCCTCTTCCTCATCCTCATCCTCATCCTCATCCTCATCCTCATCCTCCTCATCCTCCGTTTTCTGCCAAAACTCTTGTTCATCATTCTGGTCCTCTTTCCTCCTTCGTCCGTTTCCGTGCCGGGAGCCAACTGGGCCGAGAGGCCCAGCGCGGGGCGGCGCACGCACGGACGCGGGCCGAGATCTCACCGAAGATCTGCTGCAGCCTCACCTCGGGAATTTGGGCCGAGGAGGGGACGAGCCCGCCGACCCGCCGACACCTGAGCTAAACGCCAAGCCCTGCCCTTGAAACTAAAATAATCTCGCGCACGCTAGCTTGGGCTCCGCGGCACAGTGCCGAAGAGAGCCCGTGCGTGGATGATCCGAAACCACATGGTGTCGAGGGCGTCTTGAGATAAGATTGGGGCCTTTTTTATACGATCTAGAGCCTCCTCCAGGGACGCCGAGGAGTTGCTTCAAAAGGAAAAGCTGGAGATCATGGGAGGCAGCTGAGGCACCTAAGGCTAAGGCGAACCATCACCGCCCCCTGCCATTCCCAAAACCGCGCTTGCACTCAGGGGTTATTAGTTGTCTCCCTGAGGGATTGTCTTGGTCCGGCGAAGTTTCGCCACGTTGCCGCCCGTTGCCGCCTCGTTGCCGCCTGGTGCGCTGGGTCGGTCCGGCGAGGCTTCGCCACGTTGCCGCCCGTTGCCACCTCGCTGCCGCCTCGTGCGCTGGGCTGGTCTGGCGAGGTTTCGCCACGATGCCGCCCATTGCAGCTTCGTTGCCGCCTCCAGCTTGCTCACACCACATAGATTCCACCACTTGGCTGACTTGTCTCCCTAAGGAAGTGGCTGGGTACTGCGAGGAGTTTCCACGTTGCCGGCCGTTGCAACCATGTGGCCGCCTCGTGCGCTGGGTGGATCTGGCGACGTTTCGCCACGTTACCGCCTGGTGTCGAGTCGTTGCCGCCTCGTGCGCTGGGCTGGTCTGGCGAGGTTTCGCCACGCTACCGCTCGTGCAGCTTCGTTGCCGCCTCCGGCTTGCTCACAACACATAGATTCCACCACTTGGCTGACTTGTCTCCCTCAGGAATTGATTGGGTCCTGCGAGGAGTTTTCACGTTGCCGGCCGTTGCAACCATGTGGCCGCCTCGTGCGCTGGGTGGACCTGGCGATGTTTCGCCACGTTACCGCCCGGTGCCGCCTCGCTGCCGCCTCGTGCGCTGGGTTGGTCTGGCGAGGTTTCGCCACGTTGCCGCCCGTTGCCGCCCGTTGCCGCCTCGCTGCCGCCTCGTGCGCTAGGAGGGTCTGGCGAGGTTTCGCCACGTTGCCGCCCGTTGCCGCCTCGTGGCCGCCTCGTGCGCCGCGTGGGTCCCGCGAGATTTCGCCACGCTGCCGCACATTGCGGCTTCGTTGCCGCCTGGTGCGCTGGGTCGGTCCGGCGAGGTTTCGCCACGTTACCGCCCGTTGCCACCTCGCTGCCGCCTCGCGCACTGTGTGGGCCAGTTGCCACCTCGCTGCCGGCGGTTGCTGCATCGCTGCTGCCTCGTGCGCTGGGTTGGTCAGGCGAGGTTTCGCCACGTTGCCGCCCGTTGCCGCTTCGTTACCGCCTCTAGCTTGCACCACGTAAACTGGACCACACACCTTACACCACGTAGCTCGCACCACATGTCGAACACAGCCACAGTGCAATCACTTTCTCATTGGGGTCCACGCTGGCTAAGATTAAGAGGGACCAGTGCAATCAAACGCTGCGAAAGCATAACGCACCTGTGCCAGAAGAAAAGGTATGTAGAACTCGCTCGGCAGTTGTTGAATTCTGAGGGCCCTCTACGGCCATCTCGACGCTGTCTTGGAGCTCGTCGATGGGAGCCCTCTGGGGGGCACCCTGGGGCTCCCCTTGGGCCGTCTTGGGAAGCTGTCGGGCGGTCTGACCTCCTCGAACCTGTCTTGCGAGTCGATTAGGGTCCTCCTGGAGCCTTTTGATGCCCTCCTGGGCCGTCCTGGGACCCTCCCTAGGCCAGCTTGGACCCATCTTGGGCGTTCTTGCGGCCAGCTGGGGATGCTCGCGGAACTATTCGTGGCCACGTGGTGCCAATCTTGGGGGCCCCTTGGGCCGTCTTCGAAAACCAAGGCTGGCTAGCTAGAATCGACTTTGGCATCACAAGGGTCTCCTGGGAGCTGTCTGGACGGCTCTTGGAGCGTCTCGGGAACCTCTGGAGCAGTCTTGGAGCCCTGTGAAGTATGTGTTGAGGTCCGCTCGGCCCGCCCGTTGGACACCTGGGGCCGTTTGGGGACGACCTTGGGCTCGCCAGCGGGCCGATCTTGTAATCGGCATCTCGGTCAGGGTGCCCTGGTCCCCCATGCTGCAGGAGAGCCCAGAATCGAATCGATAAGTCGGATCGGCGATCGTAATGAATCGGATCGGCGGAAATCGGCAGCCGAGTCGGAAAGAGTTGAATCGGCAGAAATCGGCAGGCTAGTATGCCTCCAATAAGAAATCGGAACCCTAATCGGAATCCCAAGTCGAATCGAATCGGAATCGGAAGCCACCGAGATCGTATCGAATCGAATCGGAGGAATCGAGACGATCCCTGATGCTGTGGCCGAGGCCGGTCCCCCGTCGATGTGCACCACCACTGGGGCACGGTTTCGCCCCACTGCCTGCCACCGCCGCACAGATGTGCGGAGCGTGTCTCGTCCCCTCGGCGTGCGGGCTCACCTCGTGCGCTGCCCCCCCCCCAGGGATCCAAGAGCGGAGGCTTGAGAGAGAGTGGTCGCCCTGCAGGAGCAGGAGGAAGAGGAGCCCAGGACCCTCGGGCCCCCATGACCCCGCGAGCGAGCCATCCCTCACAGGACGTTGCATCTGTCATTCCATAGCACCTCCGCGTGGGTGTCTCGGGATGCGCGGCCGCCGCAGCCTTCCTCGCGCATGAGGCTCTCAAAGCCTCTACGCGCGACGTCTTAATGCCGAAGGGGGAGGAAGCAGGGGAGCGGGAGGAGGGGAAGGGAGAAAGGCAGGGAGATGATGGGAGGATGGGGGGGGGGACGAGGGGAGGAGGGGACAAGAGGAGGATGGGACAAGAGGAGGGAGACGGGTGGGGAGGGGAGGGGGGGGGGGAAGGGGGTCGGCCAAGGCTGGGCATGGAAAACGCCAGGCCCTGGGAAGAGAGATCATCACCAGAGCAACCTGTCGGCAGAGCACGGGCCATCTCCACCACGAACACCTTGCTCCTCCCGCCACCCATCCCCTCCCCTCTCCTCCGGTCCTTCCCTCCGTCCCTGCCTTCTGCCTTCCCTCCCTCCTCCGCACTCTCCCGTCACAGGCACAGGGCGGCGAGGTTCGCGGCAAGAAACGACAACACAGATAAGTATGGGAACCGTCGCAGTTTCCGCCACCCTCTTCTCCCTAAGGAGAGGGGATGAAGTCAGCTAACTTCGCGCATCGCGCCCCGCGATGCGCGGGCGCGATTATCTTCGCGCCCTGGCGCCCTCGCGTTGACCCCTTGGAGAACAGCAGCCGCTCTGGCGCAGACCACGACGCGCGAAGCGCGATAGTCTTCGCGCCCCCGCGAACGACCTTGGAGAGGAAGGAGCAGACAACAAGGCGTTCTGGCCTTGTGCCCAGGGAGCCACTTCACATTGTTGAAAGCCTCGACGTCGACCAGGCTGTCGGGCGAAAGCCTCCCCCAGAGGGCCCCCGCCCCCTCCTCGTGAGCCTCCTACTCATCCGCCCACTCACTATTCTCTTGCACAGGGTGTCTAGAGCTCCGACCACTTTATTTCGGCACGGCACCGCCCCCTCCCGCCCCGCACCCCCCGCCCCTCCACCCACCCACCCACCCACACCAACCACCACCACCACCACCACCACCACCACCAGCGTGACACTGCGCCCAGTCCAGTGCTTTGCCCCGGCCACTTTACACACCAACCACCACCACAACCGCCAGCGGGACACCGCCCCCCGTCCAGTACCCTGTCCACCCCGCCACCCTCCGCCCCCACCACCACCAGCGTGACACCGCCCCCCGCCCAGTGCCTTCTGCACCCCGCCCCCTCCGCCCCGACCACTTTACTTCGGCGTCGCACCGCCCCCACAGTCCCGCCCCCCGGACCCTTCCCCCCTCCCCAACCGCCCAGTGCCCTCTGCACCCTGGCCCTCTTCGCCCCGACCACTTTATTTCGGCGTCGCACCGCCCCCACCACCCCGCCCCTCCCGCCATTCCACTCACCCACCCACACCAACCACTACCACCACCACCAGCGTGACCCCCTCCGCCCAGACCACTTCATTTCGGCGTCGCACCGCCCCCCCTCTAGCGCCGTTTCCACCCCGATCTCCTCCGGCCCGATCACTTTACTTCGGCGTCGCACCGTCCCCGCCGGCCCGCCCCCACTACCCTTCCCCCCTCCCCACCCGCCCAGTGCCCTCTGCACCCCGCCCCCCTCCGCCCCGCCCCGACTACTGTATTTCGGCGCCGCACCGACCCCACCGCCCCCCCCTGCCCCCCAGCAGCCCAGGGCCCTCGCCACCCGCCACCCCTCCGCCCCGACCATGTGATTTCGGCGTCGCACCGCCCCCACCGCCTCGCCTCCCCCGCCCGTGTCTCCCCCCCCCACACCCACACCCACCACCACCACCAGCGCGAACCCCCCCGCCGCCCCGACCACTCTATTTCGGCGTCGCGCCGCCTCCACCGTTGCCCAGCAGCCCAGCGCCCTCTCCGCCCCGACCTCCTCCGCCCCCCTCCGCCCCGACCGCTTTCTTTCGGCGTCGCACCCCCCCCCCGACCTTTGCATTTCGATTTCGCAGCGCCCTCACCACAACACTCCGCAGCAGCCCAGTGCCCCCTCCACCCCACCCTTTTCCGCCCCGACCACTTCACTTCGGCGTCGCACCGCCCCCACCGCCCTCCTCCTCCTCTGCCCACCCTTCCCCCCGCGTGCCCCCCTCCGCCCCGACCGCTGTGTTCGGCGTCACACCGCCCCCACCCCCCCCCCCCAGCTCGCACCCCCCACGCACACACACACACACACACACACACACACACACACACACACACACACACACACATACACACACACACGCGCGCAGACATCCACCCACACCCACCACCACCAGCGGGACCTCCTGCTCCTCTGCCCACCCCTCCCCCAGCGTGCCCCCCCTCCGCCCCGGCCGTTGTTTTGGCGTCGCACCGCCCCCACCGTCATGGGGGCCACACGAAGCGTTCGGAGCGATCTCCAGACATATTGGAGGCCATCTCGGAGATACATTTCGAGTTCTATTGGGCCATCTGATCTGCCATCTTGTGCTATCTTGAGCCATCTTGGAGACCATCTCGAAGCATCGGAAGCTCTCTTGGAGCCATCTTGGGCCATCTTAGGCGCTCTGACCGCTCGGCGCCCCCGTCCCCGAACAACAAACAAGGAGAAGAGGGGGAGGGTACCCCGCCCCGAAGGGCTTTGAAAGAGGAAAGGGAAATGCTCCCAGAGAGCTGGTGGGATTTCGCGACGGCACCGGTGCCGCGTCCGCCCCCCTCCGCCCCCATCCCCCGCTCCTCGCTGACGCCGACACTTCGGGGATGCATTGTAGTCTGGTCTGGAGGGGAGGGGAGAGGGAGGAGGAGGAGGAGGAGGAGGAGGAGGAGGAGAAGGAGGAGGAGGAGGAGGGGGAGAAAGAGGATGAGAGGAGGAGGGAGGAGGAGTATGAGGAGAGGAACAGAAGAGGAGGAAGATGAGGATGAGGATGCCGAAAGAGTAGGATGAGGCGGGAGAGAACGAGGACGGAGGAGGACCGTGAAGGATGATGGAGGATGGGGTGAGGAAAAGACGCCCTCTGACGCCCTTACTAACGTACGTTCTGTGGCACTTCTTTCTTTCTTCTTGCGATGTTCTCGTCCCCCTCTTTCCTCCCGCTCCCTCCTCCTCCTCGCTCCTCCTCCTCCTCCTCCTCCTCCTCCTCCTCCTCCTCCTCTCTCCTCCTCCTGTCCTTCCTACCTTCCTCCTCCTGATAATCATCATCATCATCTCATCATCATCATCAATCATCATCATCATCATCATCAATCACATCTCATCATCATCATCATCATCATCATCATCATCATCATCATCAATCATCAGCATCATCATCATCAACATCATCATCATCTCATCACATCTCATCATCATCATCATCATCATCATCTCAGCACATCATCATCATTCATCTCATCATCTCATCATTCATCAGCATCAGCATCAGCATCAGCATCACATCATCATCATCATCATCACCATCATCGATCATCATCATCATCATCATCATCATCATCTCATCACCCACCATCATCATCATCACAAGCAGCAGCATCAGCATCAGCATCAGCATCAGCATCATCTACATCATCACCATCATCATCATCATCATCATCATCATCATCATCATCATCATCATCATCATCATCATCATCATCCGCCTCCTCCTCATCATTCTCCTCCTCCTCCTCCTGCTCCTCCTCCTCTTCTTCCTCCTTCCCCTCCCTTCTGTACAAGAGCCATGGCACGCGTGCCACTTGTTTGGGATCATCCTGCGCATTTTCATCCTCCTCACACTCTTCCTCCTCCTCTTCCTCCTCCTCCTCCTCCTCCTCCTCGCTCCCCCTCATCCTCCTCCCCTCCTCCGCCTCCTCCTCCTACTCCTCCTCCTCCTCATCCGTCCTCCTCCTCTCCTCCTCCTCCTCCTCCTCCTCCTCCTCTCCTCCTCCTCTCCTCCGTCCTCCTCCTCCTCCTCCTCCTCCTCCTCCCCCTCCTCCTCCTCCTCCTCCTCCTCCTCCTCCGCCTCCTCCTCCTCCTCCTCCTCCTCCTCCCTCCTGCCTCCTCCTCCTCCTCCTCCGTTTCCTCCTCCTCCTCTTCCTCCTCCTCCTGCTCCTTCTCCTCTTCTGAATATTCCCGAATCAAAGCTTGCCTCTGTAGGGGTCCTAGCGGATTCATTCCCCAATCAGAGCTTGCCTCTGTAGGGGTCCTAGCGGATTCATATGGTTAGGTTAGCTTTGTCGCCGATTTTCGCTGCACGCCCGGGTCGGGGGTGCCCGGGGCCCCGGGGCCCGGGGGGTGTCTGGGGGTGCCCGGTTGCCCGGGCGTGCCCGGGGGTGCCCCGGGGTGCCCTGGGGTGCCCTATAGCCCTATAGCCCGATAGCCCTATAGCCCTATAGCCCTATAGCCCAATAGCCCTGTAGCCATACAACTCTATAGCCCTATAGCTCTAAGCCCTATAGCTCAATAGCCCTATAGCCCCCTAGCCCTATAGCCCTGATTGGGTTTTTTCTCCGGTATCATTCCCCAATCAGAGCTTGCCTCTGTAGGGGTCCTAGCGGATTCATATGGTTAGGTTAGGTTTGTCGCCAATTTTCGCTGCACGCCCGGGTGCCCGGGTGCCTGGGGGTGCCCGGGGCCCGGGTGCCCGGGGGGTGCCCAGGGGTGCCCGGGTGCCCGGCTGGGTACCCGGGTGCCTGGGCGTGCCGGGGGGTGCCCGGGGGTGCCCGGGGGTGCCCTATAGCCCTATAGCCCTAAGCCCTATAGCCCTATAGCTCTATAGCCCAATAGCCCTATAGCCCTACAACTCTATAGCCCTATCGCTCTATAACCCTATAGCTCAATAGCCCTATAGCCCACTAGCCCGATAGCCCTGATTGGGTTTTTTCTCCGGTATCATATGGTTAGGTTAGGTTTGTCGCCGATTTTCGCTGCACGCCCGGGTGCCCGGGTGCCCGGGGGTGCCCGGGGCCCGGGTGCCTGGGGGTGCCCAGGGGTGCCCGGGTGCCCGGGTGCCTAGTTGCCTAGCCCTGATTGGGGCTTCTCTCTGGTATCATTATGAGTGTTGTTATTCTAAATAGTGCTGTGGGTGTTATTCTTAATATCATCACAAGTCGTCATATTACCAGTATTGTGAATAATCCTCGCACTACTTCGACTACGACTGTTTCTACAACTAATATTCTTGGGTATTCGTATGTAGTTGTGTGATGGGTACTCGTAGTAGTTTTCGTGGGGTTAGGTAATACGATTCGTGGAGTCAGTGTGGTTGTTCTCTGTATAGATAGTAGTCTTAGTATTCGTCGCCATCGAGATATTCATTCGATTAGTCCTCCTCCTCCTCCTCATCATCCTCATCCTCCGCTTCTTCCTCCTCCTCTTCCTCTTCGTCCTCCTCGTCCTCGTCCTGCTCCTCCTCCTTCTCTTCTCCTCCTTCTCCTCCTCCTCTTCCTCCTCCTCACAATCATCCTCATCCTCTTGCTCCTCCTCATCATCATCACCCTCCTCATCCTCCTCCACCTCCACCTCCTCCTCCTCCTCCTCCTCATCCTCATCCTCATCCTCCCACTCCTCCTCCAACTCATCATCGTCTCCCTCCTCATATTCCTCCTCCTCCTCCTCTTCTTCCTCCTCCTCCTCTTCCTCCTCCTCCTGCTCCTCTTCT